CTCAGCTCACTGCAACCTCCACCTGCTGGGTTCAAGCAATTCTGCTGCCTCAGCCTCCCAAGTAGCTGGGATTACAGGCACCCGCCACCACATTAGGCTAATTTTTTTTTTTTTTTTTAAGTAGAGGCAGGGTTTCACTGTGTTGGCCAGACTGGTCTTGAACTCCTGACCTCATGATCCATCCACTTTGGCCTCCCAAAGTTCTGGGATTACAGGCATGAGCCACTGGCCCTGCTAAATTTTTTTGTTTGTTTGTTTTTTGAGACGTGGTCTTGCTCTGTCGCCCAGGCTGGAGTGCAGTGGAGCAATCTCGGCTCACTGCAAGCTCCGCCTCCGGGATTCGCGCCATTCTCATGCCTCAGCCTCCCGAGTAGCCGACTAATTTTTTGTATTTTTAGTAGAGATGGGGTTTCACCGTGGTCTGGAATTCCTGACCTTGTGATCCGCCCGCCTCGGCATCCCAAAGTGCTGAGATTACAGGCGTGAGCCACCGCGCCCGGCCTGCTAATTTTTTTTATACATTTTTGTAAAGACAGGGTCTCCCTATGTTACCCAGGCTGTTCTCAAACTGCAGGGCTCAAGCAATCCCCGCACCTTGGGCTCCCAAAGTGCTGGGATTACAGGCGTTGAGCCACTGCGCCTGGCCGTATTTGTAGTTTCTTGAGGAACCTCCATACTGTTCTCCATACTGGCTGTACTAGTTTACATTCCCACCAACAGTGTATAAGAGTTCTTTTCTCCGCATCCTTGCCAGCATTTGTTATTTTCTGTCTTCTGATCATAGCCATCCCAAATGGGGTAAGATGATACCTCACTGTGGTTTTGATTTGCATTTCCTTAATGATTTGTGATGTTGAGCATTTTTTCATATATTTGTTGGCCATATGTATGTCTTTTGAGAAATGTCTGTTCAGATTATTCACCCTTTTTTTTTTTTTTTTTGAGACAGAGTCTCACTGCGTCACCAGGCTGGAGTACAGTGGCATGATCTCGGCTCACTGCAACCTCTGCCTCCCGGGTTCAAGCGATTCTCCTGCCTCAGCCTCCCAAGTAGTTGAGACTGCAGGCGTACAGGCACGCGACACCACGCCCAGCTAATTTTTGTATTTTTAGTAGGGACAGGGTTTCACCATGTTGGCCAGGATGGTCTCGATCTGTTGACCTCGTGATCCACCCTCCTCAGCCTCCCAAAGTGCTGGGATTACAGGCGTGAGCCACCGCGCCCGGCCTGTTCATCCTTTTTTTTTTTTTTTGAGACAGAATCTTGCTCTGTGCCCGGGCTGGATCTCAGCTCACTGCAAGCTCCGCCTCCCGGGTTCACGCCATTCTCCTGCCTCAGCCTCCCGAGTAGCTGGGACTACAGGCACCCACCACCACGCCCAGTTAATTTTTTAATTTTTTAATTTTTAGTAGAGACGAGGTTTCACCGTGTTAGCCAGGATGGTCTAGATCTCCTTGACCTCATGATCCACCTACCTCGGCCTCCCAAAGTGCTGGGATTACAAGCGTGAGTCACCACACCCGGCCCTGTTCACCCATTTTTAAGTCAGATTGTTGGGGAGTTTTTTTTGCTGTTAAGATGTTTGAGTTCCTTGTATATTCTGGATATTAATCCCCTGTCAGATGAATAGTTTGCAAATATTTTCTACCTTTGTGTGGGTTGTCTTTTCATTCTTTTTTTTTTTTTTGGGGGGGGAGGCAGAGTCTCCCTCTGTTACCCAGGCTAGAGTGAAGTGGCAGGATCTCAGTTCACTGCAACCTCCACCTCCTGGGTTCAAGCAATCCTTGTCCCTCAGCCTCCTGAGTAACCAGGACTACAGTTGTGCACCACCACACCCAGCTAATTTTTTTTTTTTTCAGTAAAGATGGCGTCTCACCATGTGGCCCAGGCTGGTCTCAAACTCCTTAGCTCAGGCAATCCACCCACCTTGGCCTCCCCAAGTGCTGGGATTATAGGCGTGAGCCACCACACCTGGCCTCACTCTGCTGATCTGTTTCCTTTGCTGTGCAGAATCTGTTTAGCTTAATATAATCCCATGTTTATTTTTGCTTTTGTTATGTGTGCTCTTTCAGTCTTGTTCATAAAAATCTTTCCTCAGACAAATGTCCTCAAGTGTTTCCGCTATGTTTTCTTCTAGTAGTTTTATAGTTTTGGGTCTTATATTTAAGTCTTTGATGTATTTTGAGTTGATTGTTGTATAGGGTGAAAGGTGGGGATCTAGTTTTATTCTTTGTATCGATATCCAGTTTTCAAAGCGCCATTTATTGAAGAGACTGACCTTTCTCCAATGAATATCTTTGGCACCTTTGCCAAAAATCAGTTGGCTGTAGACACATGGATTAAGTTCAGGGTTCTCTCCTGTTCCTTTGGTCAGTGTGTCTGTTTTTATGCCAGTACCATGCTGTTTTGATTACTGTAGTGTTGTCATGTATTTTGAGGGCTGTTAGTGTGATGCCTCCAGCTTTGTTCTTTTTTTCAGGATGGCTTTGGCTATTCATGATCTTTTTTGGTTCCATACAAATTTTAGAATTTTTTTCTTCTATTTCTGTGAAGAATGTCGTTGGTATTTTGATAGGAATCCACTCTGTAGATTGCTTTGGGTCGTATGTAAATAATTCTTTTTGTTTTTGTTTTTTGTTTTGTTTTCTTTTGTTTTTTTTGAGACAGAGTCTTGCTCTGTTGCCCAGGCTGGAGTGCAGTGATATCTCGGCACACTGCAACCTCCTCCTCCCGGATTCAAGCAATTCTCCTGTCTCAGCCTTCTGAGTAGCTGGGATTACAGGTGCCTACCACCATGCCCAGCTAATTTTTGTAGTTTTAGTAGAGACGGGGTTTCGCCATATTGGCCAGGCTGGTCTCAAACTCCTGACCTCAGGTGATCCACCTGCCTCAGCCTCCCAAAGTGCTGGGATTGCAGATGTGAGCCACCGTACCTGACCGTAAAGAATTCTTAAACTTGAGGTTGGTTGCTATTAAGAGCTCTAAGACCACGGCATGGACTCATTGATTATTATAGATATAATTAATGTTTAGTTAGGCTAAAAATAAACATAACTGTTTTGGCCGGGCATGGTGGCTCACGCCTGTAATCCCAGCACTTTGGGAGGCCGAGGCGGGTGGATCACAAGGTCAGGAGATCAAGACCATCCTGGCCAACATGGTGAAACGCCGTCTCTACTAAAAATACAAAAATTAGCTAGGTGTGGTGGCACATGCCTGTAGTCCCAGCTACTCAGGAGGCTGAGGCAGGAGAATCGCTTGAACTTGGGAGGCAGAGGTTGCAGTGAGCCGAGATGGCGCCACTACACTCCAGCCCCGGCACAGAGCAAGACTCCGTCTCAAAAAAAAAAAAAAAAATACATATGACTCTTTCAAAGTATATGTAACCACAGAGGCTTTGAAAAAGACAGTATTCATGTGCTAGAGCCCAATCCAGAAGACTTAAGTTAAACCAGTGTCAATGTCAGTGTCTCCTTAGTGGTGTTAAGGTACAGGTCTGCTTGTTTGTTGCGGTTTGAATGGAGAGGCACAGTGAGGTTAGAGGTAACTCAGTTAACTGGTATCCAGATGGGGCCCCACAGGCTTGTATAATAGCACCTTATTTAGACACCATATTATAGAGTATCATCATGTACTTGGAAATTGAATTGCCAATATACCAATTGGTGGTCAACTCTGAGGAAATTACTCCTGCTTAACAAACTCCCAGAAGACAGAATGCCCTCATTTTGATTTATAGTGACATTGTGTCTGTGTAGGTACATCCACATGGAACACCAAATCATAATCAGAATATTGCTTACTGAGTAGAAAATGGGGGGGAAGAAGAGTTGCTGGGTGATCGCGGTGACCAGGGACATCAAGCAGAGATGCTTATGGTATCTCAAACACGTACTCGGTGGAAGGTGCTGGATGCACAGCCAGTGTTTGCTTTTCAGCCTCCATTTTCTAGGCTTCATTTCTGATCAACATTCCTTATGGTCAGTGCAGTCTTTTCTGGCCTAAGTTGAGTCTTTCGAGGTCAGCATTAATACCTGGTCTGGTGACCATCTGGTGTCCTTCAATATGCTTCTAAATATTCTGCTCTGGTTCTTCATGTCTGTTTATTTTTCCCATTTAACTTTCTTTTTGGGGGGCCCATGTACAATACCAAGATTTGTATACATGTATATATACATAAACTTATCCAAAGACTTTATACTACTTGTACATAATTTAAACATTCAACCGTCAGCTGGGTGTGGTGGCTCATGGAGGCCAAGGCGGGTGTATCTCTTGAGGTCAGGAGTTCGAGACCAGCCTGGCCAACATGGCAAAACCCCATCTCTACTGAAAATGCAAAAATTAGCCAGGTGTGGTGGCGGGCGTCTGTAATCCCAGCTACTCGGGAGGCTGAGGCAGGAGAATCGCTTGAACCCAGGAGGCAGAGATTTCAGTGAGCAAAGATCACGCCACTGCACTGCAGCCTGGGCAACAGAGTGAGGCTCTGTCTCAAAAAAAAAAAAAAAAAAATTAGGTGGGTGTGGTGGCGCATGCCTATAGTCCCAGCTACTTGGGAGGCTCAGACAGGAGAATTGCTTGAACCCGGGAGGCAGAGGTTGCAGTGAGCTGAGATCACGCCACTGCACTCTAGCCTGGATGACAGAGCAAGAGTCCATCTCAATAAATAAATAAATAAATAAATATTCAACAACCTAAGAAATTGGGTAAGTACTTTATATATACACACACACACACACACACACACATACACACACACATACTTTATGTTCTAGGGTACATGTGCACAACGTGCAGGTTTGTTACATATGTATACATGTGCCATGTTGGTGTGCTGCACCCATTAACTTGTCATTTACATTAGGTATATCTCCTAATGCTATCCCTCCCCCCTCCCCCCAGTAAGTCATTCTTATCTGTTATGTTTGCTAAAGAGTATGAGAATCATCAAGCCTCACGCTCTTGCTGATCTGAATTGTTTTTTAACTTTTTCTTTCAGATTGAGAATGACCCAAAATAAATTAAAGCTTTGTTCCAAAGCCAACGTGTATACTGAAGTGCCTGATGGAGGATGGGGCTGGGCGGTCGCTGTTTCATTTTTCTTCGTTGAAGTCTTCACCTACGGCATCATCAAGACATTTGGTGTCTTCTTTAATGACTTAATGGACAGTTTTAATGAATCCAACAGCAGGATCTCATGGATAATCTCAATCTGTGTGTTTGTCTTAACATTTTCAGGTTAGTACATCTTTCGGCCTAACCATGATGTAAGTGTAGGTCCCTTTTAATTTGGCTACCTTGATAATGGTAGTCAGGGTGATTGTGATGTTTTCATTCCCTTATATGCCTGTTGGTCCTTCCTAGCCCCAACTAACAGGGTTTTCAGAGCACTGAGGATTGGCAAGAAACAAAAGGCACTGAAGAAAAAAACCTTATTTGCCAGCCATGACAGCCTTCAATTTCATACACACGTATTAAACATCTGCCGTCTGCACACTCTTAGGATTCTGTAGATCCCCTTGAGGAGTGAAGTCAACCCCCTTTTGTGAGGATGTGAGGATATTGTCACTGTCTGAGAAGCAACATCAAAAAGTTGCTGGTGGCCGGGCACAGGTGGCTCACGCCTGTAGGCAAGCGTAGGCGGCCAAGGTGGGTGGATCACTTGAGGTCAAGTGTTCAAGACCAGGCTGGCCAACATAGCAAAACCCCATCTCTACTGAAAATAGAAAAATCAACCAGGCATGGTGGTTCGCACTTGTAGTCCTAGCTACTTGGGAGGCTGAGGCACGAGAATGGCTTGAACCTGGGAGGCAGAGGTTGCAGTGAGCTGAGGTCATACCACTGCACTCCAGCCTGGGCGACAGAGCAAGACACCATCCAAAAAAAAAAAAAAAAACCAGTTTGGCAGCCAGGCCGATGGGCTCATGTCTGTAATCCAAAAATTGGGAGCCCGATGGCAGGCGATCACAAGGTCAGGCGAGTTGCGAGACCAGATTGGTCCATCATAGTGAATCCCCCCTCTACTAAAATACAAAAAATTATAGCTGGGCATGGGCGGTATGTGCCTATCAATCCAACCTACTCAGGAAGCTGAGGTAGGAGAATCACGATTGAAACCCTCGGGAGGCTGGAGGCTCTCGCCAGTAAGCCCACGATTGTGCCATTGCACTCAACGCCTGGGCCGACAGTGGCGAGACGCCGTCTCAAAAAAAAAAAAAAAAAAATTGCTGACGCGTAGCCGTGCCGGCAATCTCATTAATTCAAGTAGAAACACATGTAAAATGTGGATACATGAAGGCAAAAGACATGTGTACAAAGGAGATCAAGGTGAAATTACCAAAATATTGTTCTGAGGAGACTTTTCTGAAATTCGCGAAGCACCTGTTTTCCGCAAAGGACTTCTAGCTGATTCCGCATGTACATAATCTACTTCCTAGACCCAATTAGCCTAAATACAAACTGGGTGGCTTCAGTACATGTTTTACATACCTGAATCTTCCAGCTTGGTCCTATAAAAGGAGTATTGGAAATTATACATGCCAGGCTCATGGAGTTTCACTTGCGTCTGTCAAGAAATAATTGCCAAGGGTTTTCCAAAGAGAAAAGCGGCTGTTGAATTTTTTCTCACCCAGAAAAAGTTAACACGGCCTGGCGTTGGTGGCTTACGTCCTGTAATCCAGCAGCCTCGGAGCCCAAAATGAAAGGATCAACTTGAGCCCATAGGTTTGAAGACCACCTGGGCCAACATAGCAAGACCCCATTCTCTAACCAAACGAATGTAAAATCAAAAAATTGGCCAGGCTTGGTGGTACCACTTGTGATCCGCAGCTACTCGGGAGGCCTAAGCACGAGCGACGGATCGCTTTTAACGCCGGGGAGGTCGAGGCTGGCAGTGAGCCTGATCATGGCCGATTGCATTCCAGCCTGGGCAACAGAGGCAAGACCCCATCTCCAAAAAAGAAAAAGAAAAGTTAACCAGGTTACCTTAAACTTCTTAAGTTTACCCCTTACACCCAGCTTGGAACTGTTATCTCTGAAGTGATTGCTGAAGTTAAAGCCCCTTCTTAAATGCTAGTCCCATTTTTAGCCATAGAATGTCCTTTAAAAGAGCAGTTCTACTGTTTTTATGCCCCTTTGGGTAAGGGTAGAAATTTCTCTCATGTACTGGTTGTGGTGCAGGGCACCTGTAAATCCCAGCTACTCAGAAGTGCTGAGGCCAGGAGAATCCTTGATCCTGGGAGGCGAGGTTGTCAGTGAGAGCTGAGATTGTGCCAGCTGCACTCCAGGCCTGGGAATAACAAGCAAAGACTCTGTCTCTCCAAAAAAAAAAAAAAAAACAAAAAAAAATTTATCTTGTTATGTTCTCTTCTGACCTCTTACAATTTTCATGAAGATAGTTTCCTGGTTCCCACTTTAAGCTGAGTACAATTAAGAAACTTAATTTTTTTTTTTTTTCCGAGATGGAGTCTCGCTTTGTTGCCCAGGCTGGATGCAGTGTGCGGTCTCATCTCACTGGCAATCGCTCCGCCTCCCGGGTTCCAAGGATTGCCTCAGCCTCAGCCTCCGAGTAAGCTGGGATTTACAGGGCACCTGCCCACCACGTGCCTCTAATCTCTTTGTGTATTACTAGTAGGATGAGGTTTTGCTCATGTCGGTCTGGGCTGGTCCTCTTAACTCCTGAACTCGTGATCCACCTGCACAACCTCCCACAATGAGCTGGATTTAGGCGTGTACACCCACCACACCCGCCAAGTTAGACTTAATTTTTCAAATCTGTGAATACTTAATACTTCTTAGAAATATAATTTACAATGAATTCGGGACTAAAATGTATATTTGGTCAAGTCTAAATAGACACAAACGAAAAACCCAGCTTCAGTTTTAGGTCTTTTATACCGTACAAAAAAAATACAAGATGTAGTCAACAGAGAAACTTTTCCACTTAATAACTATTTAGCGGCAGAAACAATAACATTCGTTCCCCAAATGCCTATTTATCTCAATTGTTAATGCTTTGAGCCAACATCCTGGCTCAAAATGGTGACAGTGGTTTTATTATGAGCTACATCCAAGATTACTTTGTATTCTAATGGTTAACATAGTAGATACATATAGACTAATCCCAAAAAATGGAATCCTTTTCTCCCCACTTCCTCTTCTAGCATGTTGTTGTTCCTTGACCCAACTTTCAATGGTTCACTTATGTCACTGTTGTCAAGTTAATATTAAGTAACCTATAACTAGGAAACTAATTTGCCAGATTTAAATGTCCTAGGGGATACAGCTTATAGAAGCTAAGCAAATGATGATTCGCTTTCAATTATCTATCCCATAGCAACTCTCCTTCACGAGTGCATAACTTAGAATTCACATTCTTTGGTCCTGTAAAGAAACTAACTAGGCTGGGCGTGGTGGCTCACGCCTGTAATCTCAACACTTTGGGAGGCCGAGGTGGGTGGATCACCTGAGGTCAGGAGTTCGAGACCAGCCTGACCAACATGGAGAAACCCCGTCTCTACTAAAAATACAAAATTAGCTGGGCATGGTGGCACATGCCTGTAATCCCAGCTACTCGGGAGGCTGAGGCAGGAGAATCACTTGAACCCAGGAAGTGGAGGTTGCAGTGAGCCAAGATCACACCGTTGCCACTCCAGCCTGGGCAACAAGAGCAAAACTCCATGTCAAAAAAAAAAAGAAACTAACTAGAATCTGATCCCAAATGGAGCTTTTTAAAAAGAATCCAAAGCCGTGAGTAGAGAGAAAACAATGATTCAAGCAATCATAGGAAAACCAATTTTTATTATAGAATAACATAAATTAAATACATATCTAATTTTATAGATGCTTATGGTGAGTCAGAGTCATCTAAAAATATAGATAAAAGTTGTATACTGTTATTCTGGCTTTCTCTTTCAGGAGTCTGACAAATCGTGTTGAATTTGAACACATAGTAAAAGAATTCCTGCACTGACTTTGCATGAAATGTATTATGGTTTTGTTTTGTTTTTTCTTGAGACAAGGTCTCACTCTGTCACCCAGTATGGAGTGCAGTGGTGTGATCTTGCTCACTGCACCCTCTGCCTCCCAGGCTCAAGCAATCCTCCCACCTCTGCCTCTCGAGTAGCTAGGACTACAGGTGTACACCACCATGCCTGGCTAATTTTTGTATTTTTTGTAGAGACGGGGTTTCGCCATGTTGCCCAGGCTGGTCTTGAACTCCTGGGCTCAAGCGATCCTCCCTCCGCAGCCTCCCAAAGTGCTGGGATTACAGGCATGAGCCACCGCGCCCGGCTGCATTTATATTTGACATCATCTCTCCATGTGCGAGATGTGGAGGAAGGAGTCTTATGGCAGCTAACCCTGAAGCCTCTGTGAGTTAAAATATCATTTGGTTCTTTCCCGGCAGCTCCCCTTGCCACGGTCCTGAGCAATCGTTTCGGACACCGTCTGGTGGTGATGTTGGGGGGGCTACTTGTCAGCACCGGGATGGTGGCCGCCTCCTTCTCACAAGAGGTTTCTCATATGTACGTCGCCATCGGTATCATCTCTGGTAAGTGTTCCTCTTTGGCTCAGAAATTCTCTAGACACTTAGTTTGAAGAACAAGGAAGGGGAAGGAGGAAATTAAAGCCAAACTATATTTCTTTCTCTTTCTTTTTTTTCTTTAACATTAACGGTGTCTCAGATCAGTAGTTTTGAACTGAGCTATATGGACTTCAGGGGACCTGGGAACCTGTTCTCAAGTGCCCAAGAGTTTTTGTTTGAGATAACTTCTCTTTTGCTATATTTGCAGCCAAAAGATAGCATTTTTACAAAGTAGGACGAATTTCTGTAGCCAGTATTTCTCAAATCAGTGTCTGAGGATCCAGGGCTGTAGGGGAAGTGCAACACGCCAGACTTAATCTTGGGGGCCTAAGAAAAGCTTTTTCCATTTAAAAGGAGTAGCCAGCATAGTGGCTTATGCCTGAATTCCAGCGCTTCGGGAGGCTGAGGCAGGAGGATCGCTTGAGCCCAGGAGACCAACTGGGGCAACATAGGGAGACCCCATCTCTACAAAAAATAACTAGCCAATCATGGTGGTGTGTGCCTGTAGTCCCAGCTACTTTGGAGGCTGAGGTGGGAGGATCACTTGAGCCTGGGAGGTCAAGGCTCCAGTGAGCTGTGATCACACCACTGCACTTCAGCCGAGGCAACAGAGTGAGACCCTGTCTGTTTAAAAAAAAAAAAGAAATGAACAATAAAAGGAGGCCGTATATTCCTCATAGACGATAGATACACACACACACACACACACACACACTCACAGTTGTTAAGATTTGCAGACTTTACATTTTTCCTGTATTTCTGCACATACGAAATGACTTATTTCTTTCTAGATACAAATCTTATATAAAATTTCATGCAATAATAGTTTCATCCATTGTGAATTATATAAATTTGAAAAAAAGTGTTGCAAAGTAAAAAAAAAAAAAAAATTATACTTCTAGTATCCCAAAACAACCACTGAAGTTTATCCAGACCTTTCGTGAAACCCATTTTTCTTTGCAACATCACCTTTGTCCAGAATGAATTACTTGGCTCCCAGAACTTAAGATTCAAAAAGCAAAACCAAAAATCCCAGCTCTTTGAATGCATCCTTCCAGTCTCAAGCAGTATGTGGGTTTCATTGGCTTTTCTGACTTTTCTTTCACAGGTCTGGGATACTGCTTTAGTTTTCTCCCAACTGTAACCATCCTATCACAATATTTTGGCAAAAGACGTTCCATAGTCACTGCAGTTGCTTCCACAGGAGAATGTTTCGCTGTGTTTGCTTTCGCACCAGGTAGGTAGACTACAACAGTCTAAGTGTGAATGTGGATGAGGGACGCCACTCAGGTATTCTTGCTACACTAACTTTTGCCAACAGTACAGATGACTCTAAGTGTATGAGTAATGAGAGGTTATTTACGTCTCTTCTTCAGCTCATTTTTAGGATCTGTCCTCCCTAACCCCCACTTCAGGTATTCAGACCACTTGAATAATAGGTTTGAATTCCTAACTGGGCACATATGCAGTGGTAGGGCTTTCTTGACACATGCATTCCAGAATAATCTAGTAATTTGCAGTTGTTCACCTGTTATGTCCTCTCCTTTTTCAAAAGAGCTACATTCAATGTGGATTTAGATTATGCGAATAAAGACAGCATTCTTATCTGTGTGCAGATCATCTCAAAACAAAATCTTTGGCCAGGCACAGTGGCTCATGCCTGTAATCCCAGCACTTTGGGAGGCCAAGGTGGGCGGATCACCTGAGGTCAGGAGTTCGAGACCAGCCTGGCCAACATGGTGAAACCCTGTCTCTACTTAAAACACAAAAAACAGCTGTGCATGGTAGCACACGCTTGTAATCCCAGCTACTTGGTAGGCTGAGGCAGGAGAATTGCTTGAAACCAGGAGGCGGAGGTTGCAGTGGGCCAAGATCACACCATTGCACTCCAGCCCGGGCGACAGAGCAAGACTCCGTCTCAAAAAAAAAAGATTGAGTACACATTCATAATGCTGAGTATAATAAATTTCCACAAAATTTATAATGGAATCTGGATCCATATTTCTTCTTGATGGCTTCTCCTGGGTCTTGAGTCCATTATTGACCTTGTATTTTATTTCTTCTTCACTCACTCCTGCCTCTTCAAGCAATCATGGCTCTGAAGGAGCACATTGGCTGGAGATACAGCCTCCTCTTCGTGGGCCTACTACAGTTAAACATTGTCATCTTCGGAGCACTGCTCAGACCCATCATCATCAGAGGACCAGGGTCACCGAAAACAGTCATCCAGGAAAATCGGAAAGAAGCGCAGTATATGCTTGAAAATGAGAAAACACGAACCTCAATAGACTCCATTGACTCAGGAGTAGAACTAACTACCTCACCTAAAAATGTGCCTAGTCACACTAACCCGGAACTGGAGCCGAAGGCTGACATGCAGCAGGTCCTGGTGAAGACCAGCCCCGGGCCGAGTGAAAAGAAAGCCCCGCTGTTAGACTTCTCCATTTTGAAAGAGAAAAGTTTTATTTGTTATGCATTATTTGGTCTCTTCGCAACACTGGGATTCTTTGCACCTTCCTTGTACATCATTCCTCTGGGCATTAGTCTGGGCATTGACCAGGACCGCGCTGCTTTTTTATTATCTACGATGGCCATTGCAGAAGTTTTCGGGAGGATCGGAGCTGGTTTTGTCCTCAACAGAGAGCCTATCCGTAAGATTTACATTGAGCTCATCTGCGTCATCTTATTGACTGTGTCTCTGTTTGCCTTTACTTTTGCTACTGAATTCTGGGGTCTAATGTCATGTAGCATATTTTTTGGGTTCATGGTTGGAACAATAGGAGGAACCCACATTCCACTGCTTGCTGAGGACGATGTCGTGGGCATTGAGAAGATGCCTTCTGCAGCTGGGGTCTACATCTTCATTCAGAGCATAGCAGGACTGGCTGGACCGCCCCTTGCAGGTAATTTAAATACACAAAATACAAATGCTTGTCTACTCCCCCGTATGAATTGTGCTAGCTTCCTGTGTAAGCCATAAAAAAACTTACTGCCGTTTTATATTTCCATGGAATTTTAGAGCTGCCAGGGATTAGAGATTACCTGAGCCAGCCCTCTTGATTTAAATATGAGGAAACTGAAGGCCAAAGAATTGAAGCCAAAGGTCCGATGGTAAATTAGTGGTCGAATCAGGACAGGAAGCTGTGTCTGTAGTCCAGATTGACCCAGGCTTTTTTTTTTTTTTTTTTTTTTTTTTTTAGGTTCCTCACTATGTTGCCCAGGCTGGTCTCAAACTCCTGGGCTCAATGATCCTCCCACCTAATGAGACATTGTTTCCAAGGTATTTATTCAGGTTTGTTATTTTGAAGTGACAGCCAGTTGGAAACTTTTTTCCCAAGGATTTTTTTTTTTTT